GGTCGTTACTTCCCGACAAATTCTTCTGGGTTTGCCGATACAATAAAAACCGATACCACTTTATACCGGCGGTTTCGATTGTTTTTTTTTTCAAATTCGATAGTTTTGGAGAAAATGTCCATACGCCACTCTGGAATACGAACAAAGTATTAAAACTGAATTCGCGTTTCAACCGTAATATCGGTTAATTTTAATTTTCGATTTTAAATATCTGTTATCGGTAAAAAGCGGCATCGGCCTGTATTTACGAATTGTACGCACACTATCCGTATTCTAATACTTACGCAACAAAATCAATAAAACAATTTTGATTTTTGATTGTTGGACCGGATTGATGCACGCGATGTATAATAATATTATCTACTTCATACTTGTCCCGATATCCCGCAATATGAATAATAAAATTATGCACGAGTCGGCGCATTTGCTCCCCGGGGACGGAACTATAAAGGCGCGGGAGCGAAGATCATTTACCCCAGTCGGTAATTTTAAATTTTCAGTATTACAGTAGGGCCGTTAAAATATATAGACGGACGAATGAGTAAAAATATAGAATCAAAAATTTGATGACACAATTAGATTTTCTGATACCCGAAGAGATGATATCGGTTTTTATTTTGTTTTTGCAATCCGTCATATGAGTATAAAAAAAAAAGAGACAAAAATAGCTTGTAAAAAAAAAAAAAAAAAAGCAGCCGGCAGTTGGAAAATGTCGAAAAAGTCGACGAGCCAAAGTTTCAAAACTGCATAATATAATATAATTTACGGTGAGCCGAACAAGAACAAAATGAAAAAAAAAAAAAAAAAAAATTGTATTTTACAGAAATTCGCCGCCCTAATCATTATTAATTATTATTGTTATTATTTTGTATCCGTTAGCCCGGATCGGTTCGTATAATATAATTTTCCAATTTGATAATGTAATTGAATTCCGTCGCCGGCGGGCGGTGGTTTTCGCGTATTATAATATAATATAGTTAACGATGAACAGTTGAATTTATACCCGCAGTTACGTATTGTTATTATTATTGTTATATAGTATTCGTATAATATATCGACAACGGAAAATGATTAGAATTTAAATAATTAAATTGACGTGTACGACAGACGACTATTATATATAGGGCCGTGCACACGGGATTACGGACACCGCCGGCCGTGTAAAATAATACCAACATAACGCCCGTGATACGAGCACGTTTCCCGGATCGGCAGGTGTACGCACTATTATTTGTATAGAATTCGATTTAATAAAGGCAAGACAGTAACGAACGGAGAAGCGAGTTTAATAATAATAAGGTACTGCGGGAAGAAATGGGTTTAGCGGGCGTAGTTACACGTCCCTACAGCAGCTATATGCGTGTATAAAAAAAAAAATAAAAAAACGCCGCGGCGTTTGGAACGGGGGTGGAATGAGAATACGATGACGACACCGTAAAGCACAATGGCAGTTCTGGAACGGAAACCCGAAGGGAAGCTATCAACGTACCGCGAAAGAGGTGGTTATAAATCGTGTACAGTAGAAAGCGATGATGATGCGATCTTAAAACATTAGAAATGCGCGAATATATATTACACCCTGTATTACACCCGCGGCAGGTTTGTTTTTTTGTCGAAAACCTTTTTGAAACGTGCACGGGGAAGAACTTTGTAACTCTAAAATCGCATTGGTATCATTTGATATAATTAAAATTGTAGTTTTTAATACAATGTCCGTGGCATTCACAAAGTCTCCGTCGAGAAATTCGCATACGTATAAATGATTATTGTTATCTATTTCGGGCGGCGGAATGCGACGGAGTCGTGAGATGACCCGGGTCCGGTGGAGCGTCCGCTAACTATTTGTGTAAATTATTAAAAGTTACGGCGCATTACTGGGACGGCGTCTTCGGTCCTCGGGCTCCGAATTCCACGCGGTACGCGAATACGGATTAATTTTACTTCGGATCACCGTCATTTCGCCCGGGCCGGTCGGTTCGTCTCCATCGCCGTACGATATTACGCTATACAGAGCGATTCACTAATTGTGCTCACCCCATTTTTTTCGATTAAATTTTGCACGTATTCAAATTATGATTTTTGGACTTATAAGCGTAATTAATTTTCGAATATTTGGATTATTCACAAAATTTTTTGGAGTCAATCCGTTGACGGTATATTCCACTTTTATGTTTTGGTACTACTCTCCCGCTACATAAACTTAAAAGTGAAATATCTCGTCAACGGGTTGACGAAAATCAAAAATGTTGAAGCCAAAATTAATTTGAAATAATATGCCGTCTGTTAATGGAATTTTTAATATAGATTCTTGTTTGAAAAACCTAAATTGGTATCGCCACAGTCGTACTAGAGCAAACGGACGTGGCCGTTATATTTTTAATGATTATATATTATACGTTATATATGTTTAATGATAGATTTAAATATTTAAATTTTTTTTTTTTTTACGTCCAATTGTCTCCAAACGGCTACGTCCATTTGTTCTTGTTCGCGCCACAGGATACTCCCTAAATGCTATGAAAAATCTTAGTACCTATTCGAAACTGTCGGCTTAAACTACACTTAAAAATTCCAAAAATCAGAATTTGAATAGACGCGATATTTAACCAAAAAAATGGGATGAGTACGCTTAGTGAATCAACCTGTATACGTACACGGTATCATTATAATATTATATAATTCACGCAGATACCTGTGATACTGTGGAAATTCACCGTTGTATAGGTGTACACATTGTTGAATAATTCGTTTGGGCTCTCGTGGGAAACGGACGATGATTTATTCGCGTTTTAATGCCGATTGCGTACCCCCGCAATAGTTATTGTTACTCCAATTTAATTATCGGTTACCCGTTTCAATGCGCAGCTGCGGGTTTCGGACATATTACACGCATAGCATAGTTTACCGACCGACATGATTACTGGTTTTTTATTTTTCAATTATATAAGATTATTATTGTCGATACGAGTTGTATTACCATCATAAAATTATATCACGCCAACGTTGTATTCAGCCGCGAAAAAAAAAACAGTATAGGCACACGACGTGTGTTATCAGCGTATGAAATTACTCTCGCAATTTTTGAATATTATCTACTCAATTGCATTGATAGCATATAATGTGACTATACGGATATTATGCGTGAAAATCAATAAATAACTTTACAATCTAATCGGTACACTAATAACGTGTTCGATTCGACTTATTACTCTAATCACCGTGGTCGTATTTAGGGAGGGAGGAGGACATCGACGCCGAAGCCACATTTTAACGGGGACTAATAATCTTTTAGTGCATTGTAAACAATACCTAACATTATACATTTATTATTTATTGATTACTATAACCTTTATCATTTTTTATTGGAATATAGACAGTTTAGATTCTGAGTGGAGCGAAGAAGCTTAGTTTTACAAAAATGTTATTTTTTTTTGTGGACAAAATTTCTACCAGAAATTTCGCTCAGGTTTTTAATTGTAGCACCTTTTCCAAAGAAAATCTGACTGACGAGGAACTGAAGAAAAAGCGGTCATTTTTCGATTTTCCTAGGAGTTTTCCCAACAAATTAGAAAAATTGGGAAAAACGAAAAAATAGATATAATATTAAACAAATATTATTAAAGAAAATATATAATGCCTTTGTATTTTACTATAATATGGCATATATATCGTTTTTTCGTTAGTAATGATTTATCGTTGATATACATTAAGTTTTCCCTCTATTACCTTCCCAACTTTTTTCTACGTTTATCCCGGTTTTCTCTTGTTTTTTCCCGGTTTTTTCCTTTTATTGGAAAAATTTCTGGGAAAATTAAAAAATGACCTCTTTATAGTATCTTTCTAATCCGATTTCCTTTTAGAAAAAGTGGTACACTTGTAAATTGGAAAAAAAGTTAATAAATAAACATCTTTGTAAAACCATAAACTTCTTCGCTTTACTCAGAATTTAGAATAGAGGTACATTAACTGTTAATCAAATTTTTTAATTTATGCAATTTAAGACAAGTTAAAGGAATTATTATAGTTCTAAATTTATATAAAAAATTAATCAAACCTTACACTTACCAAAAATATTATGTAAAGATATTTTACTAATATACATTTTTGTTTATTATGTTTCAGGTTAGTAAATATATTTGCATTTTAGTCTTAAACACTGCAGTCATTATTCGTAAGTACATTGTATATATTCTAATAGTTTATAACGTCATCTAATACATTGTGAAAAATATGTTGGGTAGTTGACCCAAATTGAGAACCAGTGCGTTTAAAAAAAAATTTCAGGGGGGAGTTTAAGGTTGTACATTTTCTTATAACAAAAATTTGTACATTTTCAATCGTAGGATTATTTATTTTTCATTAAAAATTTCAATATTTTATAACATTCTGAGTGAAGCGAGGAGTGTATTGGTTTTATAATGATGTTTATCATTGAAATAGAATAAACCGAAAAAAAATGGAGGAAAAGTGGGAAAATTTAAGAAATGTAGGTATTAGCTAAATAAATAATGGTTTTCATTTTTTTCGTGGATAACTTTTTTACCAGCAATCTTGCTCCGATTTACAATGATAGCACTTTTATTGAAAGGAAATTTGACTGGAGTTGTACTTTAGTAGTACTTTTGGATGTCCAAATTCTAAATCAGATTTTTATGTTTGACAGTGTTACTTCTAGGTAATGCATATTTTTAATAGATTTCTCGAATAGTTGTTCCAATCGACGATTTAAAGACCTCATTTATTTATAGCAAAATATGTAAAATCATCTTGAATAATAACGAGCGTGTATTTAAAATTTACAAGTTGAAATAAGTCTTGATTTATATAATTGAAAAACCTATGAATTTACTTCTAAATCGTGTTTATGGGGTTTAATATTTAAAAATCTGATATAACAAAATTCAGAACGTAAAAATTAATATAACTAAAGATTTAAATTCTCTTAGAATTTCTTCCGCTAAAAAATTTAAATACATCTCTGCTCATCATCACCATATTTTCCTGCACTAAAATAACGGACTAACGAATCGGTACAATACTTGGTTAGTATAAACGATAAGTCAGAATGATACGTCATATCATGTTATTTTGTATAATAATATTATGTTTATTAGAAAATAAGGTCAAGAGAAGATTAGACATCCTTATCTCCCTATGAGCACGGTCCTAATCAGAACGGTAATAATAATATTATACGACTGAATTCTGATTCATCTACTACGCCGATACGATCAAATATTCGTATCGGTTTACCAATAGGTTAAGCGGATAGACATAGACGTAAATTGGGTAGGGGTAAATAGGTTTAGTACTTCCTGGGCCATTTCAAGCCCTACCTATATTTGAATTAAATTAATCCGATTTTGAACATCCGTTTGAATTCAAACCCGATATAGCGTATTTACGCGTATGTATAGATAGGTACAGTAATTCTAGAAAAGCGTTTTTAAGACTGTCGTAAAATTGTTTATTGCCAGGATACAGTACAATATCTATTTAATAGCAAGTCAGTATTATAAGGTATCGATCAAAAGGCAAACGCGGTGCTTTGTCGGCCGGTTTACGATTTGTTTGTCTTTTGTATATTGCACGCGTATAATATTATCTGCTTTGGCTAACGGGTCAAGTCAACAACACTCGCTGTTTGTGCAAATTTAATAGTGTACATATGACGCGGTCCACGGCCTTATCGAACGACATTCTGTATTAATATTATCTATTGCGAGTTATGACACGGGCCAACGGGTAAAAAAAAAAACACGTGCCGAAGTAATAATTTATTATGTTAAAACGTGAAAAATAGCTGCGAGTTTACTTACGCCGTATAAAATGTTTCGTGATCAAAACCAATCGGCCCATAATCTAACCCAAGTCAGTGGCGTGCGATAGGGGAGGGGGTAAGGGGTTATATTCCCACCGTTGGCTTAAAAATACAGCAACACTATGAGTGTTTATTTAGTAATTTTATATTTTGGCCAAGTTGCAATGAAAAAAAAACCCCAAGATTTATTAAATACAAATTGTTTTTTTTTTTTTATATCCGGCAAATAAATTCTCATCATCGGGTCAGGTATAAGGTTCACGAATCGTGATTATTATTTACTACGTTTCCTCCCGCTTAAAATTCATGGATATGTAGCTGCAGACCCTAGTAATCTATTAAAATATACGGTACGGGTTTTAAGAGAATTAAAAAATATATATTTGCGTATGAACTAGTGAATTATAGTGATAAATTTGCATGATAAAAAAAAACACTCAAAAATCCGTCCCTTCTGAGTTTCTGGGTTAGGGAAAAAAATTCCAAAATATCGAAAATCTTTTGTAAGTTTTGAATAATTCTAGACGGACCAACAGACTTTTTATGATTTAATTGTACAATTTAATAATAATGAAAGTCGGATCCTGCGGATAAATAGAGCAATTTAATTTAATTTATTGTACGCAAAAATAAACCATTGCTAACGAAAAACGATTCTGAGCCGAGTTGTTATTGTTGTCGGGGCAATTCAGAAATCAACAAAAATGTCAGTAGATTTTCCCGTTTATTTAGAAAACATGCAACGGAAGTCCATTACAAATAACCTCCCGAATGCAGCAACTGATAACGCGACGAGGAAGTTCTTATAACAACATGTTTGGAACAAAATTTCCGGAAAAAAAATTGTTTATGGACACACAAACATAAAAAAAAAAAAAACCCCATCATAGTAAAACCGGCTATATATTTATCGCCTCGCCTAGAATCACGAACACGCAAACGCGATATCTTCTAAAAACAATAATTCGATATTATGCCACCGTTATACGAGTACACCGTACAATATATTTTGTACTGTTTGCGCGCGTAACGCCATCACTATAAATCGGCTAAATTTTATTTTCGCCGTTTTATAAATATTATTTTTATTCCGCCTCCGATAGTTATTGCCATTGTAAAATTATACCTTTCTTTTTATCCGCAGAACTCTCTGGCTGGCGGCTTATACGAAGGAATAAGCATAATTGTTTTCTTGTTGCTTACGTGCCGTATTACATTTGAGTACGGTGTTCCGCGGTGTTATACGCGGCTCTCTAATCCTGCGGCGCGTCTTTTTTTCTTATTTTCTTTTTGATTACCTATATGTCTCCTGTACGAGAACGCCCATGTTTCCGAATATTTATATTGCATACACGAACAATGCAATCAGAAATTGATATAACAGCAGCTACCGCGGCCGCAGGGATTACATACGGTTTATGTGCGCGGTATCTCCGCGACTTTTTGTAATTTGAATTTCGGATCACTGCTACAGATATAAACCGCGCAGGTACACAAATCAATCTTGATGGTTTCGGAAAAATTATTATTTTGATTTACTACGGGATATAAGTATTATATCGTGAGAGTAAATATTTCGGAAATTGTTTTTTTTTTTTTTTTATTTGGTTTAGAAAATAATAATAAATATACCTACACGATACGATATTGCACAGTGTATCCGAATTTCGGTGACTTTTTCGCCCTTCAACGACGATCTGCAAATATATCATCATAACTATAAGGCTGAGATTTGCGCTGTGCATAGTTTCCCAACATGTCTTGCTGTACGGTGCTCGTAAATTGTTTTGAAAATTCATTTCGTACGCTTTCGAATAAATAGAAGAAATTTGAAATTCTTTGAAAATATTCGTTTTTAAAGTGTTTTTATTATTATTTTTTTTTTTTAAAAATTCGAATTTCTAATTTCAGTTTAAGATTTTTAACATAATTATTATATTATACACTTAAAAAACTATCAAATGGATACACGTTTAATGATTATCGGAAAATAGTGATGTTTAAACGATAGATAACGAGTGGTAGCGTTTATGGCAATATCATTAAAATCATTTTTAATACCTGTTGAAACGCTTGTTTAATGATATAACGGCCCATCAGAGAGATATAAAATCGATGACGACGTCCAAAGATACCGTTCAGCACGAGAATTCCCGGAATGAAAGAGTCCAAGGATGTCCAATTTGCGTCAGTAAAACTTTTTTTTTAAACTCATGCAAAAATCGTGTATACCAGATTTATTTGGAATAAAATAATTGTCAATATATTATCTGTCGTTTTTAGGGCGTACGCGTATTTATTTTTTTTTATTTAAAGGTATTATTCGGGGTTTTATAAGACAATACATTTCCAGTCCTAATTATAACAGAATCGATAATTTTGTAACGAATAATTCGTTTTACTTTGAAATAATAATGCTTCCGCTGGTCTTGTAAAATATTATTATAATTTTACAAAACGCACGGGGCGAATTATTATATTACGACGACGCTGCAGTTTTCCTAATTGGAAAAGTTTTAAGTTTCGATTAAATTTTCAAAAAACACGTTGAACGGGATTGTCGAAATCTTGTTCTTGCACGCTATTGTTGTTATTAATTAATATTATTCGCATAATAAATTCACCCCCTTAAGTTAATGTTACGATCAAGTCGAAAATTTCCGATTTATTAAAAAATTGTTTATAACATTGTAACACAGCTATCGATGTTAATTTGTTGGTGGTCGAATAAAAGTAAAATTGTAAAAAAAAAAAAAAATACTGGAGTTCTGTATAACCCAACTTAGAGAAATATTATAGATAAATCGCAACAAAAATCGTCTTGTTTTATTATTATTATTATTTGTTTAAATTATTTTGCCGGCGTAACGAACAGTTTCACAAAAATGGTAATAATCGAATTTGTTTTGAGATTTCACGGTTTCGTAGTCGGTGATATGGGAATTTTGTATCATAAATAAACGAAACATTTGTTCGTTAATACTAGTGGAAATAACGTGTAATCCCTCGGCGCGTCGAAAAATGTCGTCGTGTGACTTTTAGACGATTTTAGAGCGCTGTTCCGAGGTGTATATAAATTACCGATGATGAAATAAACCCTAAAAGTATATCATTATTTTCAATTCGATCCACTCTATTTCAGAGTTTTTTTTTTTTTTACTTTCCTCTGAACAGTATATATAGTGGGTTTAATAACGGTTCGGTTTTTTTTTTTTTTTTTTATTTGGTTTTGACCGAAAATGTAATTTCAAAAGACTTTTATTTTCCCTTAGAGTACCTAGATAAAAACGCTGTCGGATTTTTATTTCGCACATATCGTACAAACAATAATAATATACCTAGTCATCAGTGTAACGAATTTCTGTTCATCGCCACTAGACTAGAATACCAGAGCCAAATCAAGCGGGGTAGTCTATATAAGTGACCATAAAAACGGTACTGCTGATGAATGCGTAGGATACAAAAGGTTATTCGATTTACATCTGTATGCAACGATGGATCATTGTAATTGAACTACGATTCTGAGCGAAGTTTAGTTAAACATGTTTTGAAATGCTGCGATTATTGTGATTCTCAACGTACGTTGAACTTAACAAACTTCATAAAAAAAACTATTTTATTATGCTCAACTTTTTTTTCTTACCATCAAATACAACTTGTTATAAAACCATTTTAAATTTCCAATCATTAAGGCTTGATCAAAAATTTTACTCACATAAATCAAAAATAGTACGCGATATGATGTGATATTTACGATATCCAATTATATAAAAAAAAAACTACTATACGGTACTAAATATTTTTGTTTTTTTGCTACTAAATATAATTTCTGCTGAATTTCGTGTAAAGTTCAAGGTAACACCCTTGAAAATGACAAATGCTAAAAAATTGTCAGTATTTTTTAAAAATGTTACCACGTATAAAAAAGGCTATGAATACATTGTGTAAAAGTTTCAGGTCTCAACGTATATATTTCACCAAATTACAACAAAAAATAAAATCGAAAATAACAAATTCGTTATTTCTGTAAACTTTGATACGTTTATTCCAGAGTTTTGTCAACTCTAAAGAAAACTACGTGAAAAATCAAAAAATATCATAACGTACCGGCAGCACAAAATCTTCATTCCGAAAAAATGCTACACTTAAAAATCGGAGAATACATCCGAGTAATCTCTGGTAGAAAGTTGTTAAGAGACAGACGAAAAATCACTAATCCTAGTGTAACTAATACATCTCTTTCTATGCTCAGAGTCTAAAAAATAGCCCTAGTAAACTTTAAGAAGTATATGATTATTTATAATATGAGTATGCGTGTTTCTCAAGTTTATTTTACGTTTCATCTCGAGTATATATTCCTGTTACACACCGCTGAACATATAAATGTAGACGTGTAAAAACTTTTGAATTTTTTTTTCTAAAATCTGATGGAATTTATAATGTTGAAGACGCCCTCCGTCTCGGCGTGTGTTTTAGAAACGTTATAATAGTACACCGCATTTAAAACCGGCTGTCGCGTTAATTTCTATACTAAACTCTAAGAGACGCGTGGAATACAACTTTCCTACCAGACATATCGCTTCAATCATAAAACGTATAGGAAAGTTTTCGTAAAGTCTATCTCGCTGGTGCATCATCGACGAGAGATCATTTATTGGTGTACCAATAATTGTAGTTTTAAACGGCGCTATTTTGCGTATAATTCGTGATGATTTCTAGGGGCCACTTGGCGACAACAGAAAACACTACGACTGATAACACTTTGCGCAGAATCGGTTTTCGTTAACAACGGTTTGTCGTGTTGCGTACGGATATAAATCGAATTACTCCAAATATTCCCCGATTCGCCTCCGAAAACAGCGGAACGCCCGTCGGCAGTGTCGGTTTTTCGCATTAATTTCTCTCGTCTATGTATAATTGTAAATATGTGTGTGCGCGCGCGTGTGTGTGTGTGTGTGTGTGTGTACTACAGACGCTACGTCTCATCTGCGAACGACATAAAATAATAATGATAATGTTTCGATAAAACGTTCCGTCGATTTTACGCGAGGGCCCGTATGAAATATTATAACAGCACAAATACGACTCCGTATAATATTACCATATATGTGTATGCGTGCACACACGTTTTACAGAATCGCGGGCGTCTCGTTCTATAATAATATAATGTGTAATAACAGGGTGCTCGTGTAATATTCTAGTTGCCCACGCATATCTCGACGTCTCGTTTACCATAATTACCGTTTTCGTTTAACCGTTTCGCCGGAACCCGGGGGAACGTCTTCAATATTCCGTATAAACGTTAATTAATAACAGCTATTTTAGACGGGTATATACGTATACATATATATAAATATAAATGTATAGGTACTTCACGGCAAACGGTATAATTACCGCGGAAAACGTCTGAAAAGTTCGTTTCGTTCGAATTAAACAACTACGCGATATACTTTTTCGAAAATCTAATTTCCCCTGTATCCGTCCGTCCGCCGTTCGCGCGGCAATAATCATTTCAACGTTGTACGATACACGGGCGAAACTATATTATTCTTCTCTTGTTTCCACCGCGGCTGGTATGCCCGTACACCGCCGACGACTTTCTAAGAGCTTTTGCCGCCGTGACCGTAATTACGCGCTTCGCCACCTGTGTCCGCGTGTTTCGAACTATTATAATATTGTACCTCACTCCGGTTTTCAACTCCTCGGCTTTTTGGATCTTATTCCGTCCATCGATCTTTTCCCGGTCTTCCTACGCGTCTTCTCCTCGGCGGCTTTCCATTCCGTGTTACCGTCGTTCCGTCTCCTCTCTCCGTTAGACGAGACCAACCACCCGTTACCTATGTATTGCGTTTTTAATTATCATATTTTTTTTTTCGTTTATCCAAAAGTCTTTACGGCGTCGACGGCCGACATTACGCGGTGTCCATGTCTTGTCAGAATCATTAATTTTTAGCCGTTCGCCATTCGCGGTTTTGTTTTTTATAATTTCCGAGACAGCGCACTTAAATAATGATCACTTGTAATTTAATACTACTCACGTACAATATTGTCGATAGAAATATAAAAAAGCCAGTGATGCGATGCTTCACACCGTGGGTAAGCGATTGTAGTTATATAGTTGGAAGTTGGCAAGGTATTGGGTATAGGATAATTTAATGTGTACAACTATACATTTTTACAATTTAAAAAGTATTAAAAATTGTCCGAATAAATATCGTTCACCGGTCGAAAATTCCGCATTTTTTACGGTAGTTTGTGAGAAAACCGAAATACTTTTACTGGTCGACTAAAGGATTTTTCGCTAAAAAAAATACAAAAGTTTACTGAATTCGAGAATGTGTTTTTTAAACCAGCGTTAAAAAATACGAATAGGTAATAATAAAACACTTCTAAATCAATACGTCATTAATAAATCTAATTACTGTTTCGATAATCCACTTTCGATCTATATGAATATACAGGGTGATTCTTTTATCGAGAATCAATCATTTTCTCGGAGGATTTTAAGTGAATTTGATTTCGGTTTTTTTTTTTTATTCATTATGGAACCGTTTAAGATTTATTTAAATACTATTGCTGCTACTATTACTATACTACTACTGCTATATTCAATTGTTCACCTCCACTCCGTGTACTTAAAATAAGTATCCACTTTGGATTTTTGAATAACATCCCTCCCTTTTCAATCACAGATTCAAATAGAGAAAATTTGTCAAGAAATGTTGGTATGCTAAAGACTAAAATCATCAGATTTACCGTTAAAGATTTATAAAAGCGATAAGTTGTCTATATATTTTTAAATGATATATTTATTTTTTCCCTATTTCACTGGTCTAAACTTTTAAACTGTTATAATTCATAAACTTCAGAAAACGAGTACCGTAATAGGTAAAAAAAAAAAATCCAGATTTAAAAATTATTTGAGAAAATTGACGGTTCGTGATAAAAGAATTACCGTGTACACCTACCCGTGTACACCTACCTGTACGATAAGTGGTCGCCTAGTATAATATTTTTCTTTGGTCGGCCAGATACTTAGTATTCGGTAGGTAGTAGTAGGTAGTCCGTTCGATTGTTCGTGTATCTATACTTATTTTTTTCTATCGTTTTTATGTATAATAAACATAAGTAGGTATATATTTGATATGGACAGACACTCGTACCGGATCGTTTTTCAATGAATTTGAACCATCGTGCAGTTTATAATACATTAATATGCTTCTAATTTATTACGCCAAATATTATGCAAAACAGTCGGGTCGTCGAAATTCCGTATTTTGAACAACATACGCATTATTACTTGAGGTGTTTTCCGGCCTTTCAGATATTTTCCCCCAGTGTCGTACTTAGGCCTTCCTTATGGGGGGGGGTGGTGAAATATATTTTCACCCAATCCTAAAATAAATAATTCCTTAAAAAAACTAACGTCATAGCTACAACAATCAGACAAGGGAATTGAGCTCTTTAATATTTAATAGAATAATAAAGTAAAAATAAAATTTGTAATAGTTCGAAACTAGTCGTGCAATACACATTTAATAATACTCCAGGCGATGCATTTATTTATTTATATCTTTAATATTTGTAAAATATTGTATTTAAATACATAGAATAAGAAACTTGTATTTAATTAAACATGGTATTATTATTATAATGCAAATTATAAATGTACAATACAAAGTTTAACCTCCAGTTTTTCATAGAAGAAAATCTTTCAATAGTATCATCCACTGGTATACTTATTTCCTCGTAAATACGCAACAGTGCAAGCCCGTATAAGAGATCTTGGCAGGTTTATTTTGTAACTAGAAATCAGTGATAAGAGACGACCGCCAAAACTAAATGATAACATCGGATACCTCAACTCGGTTCGACCATAGATAAAAAAATATATTGATAGCAATGGACTTGACCATAGTATTGACATGTAATTAACCACTTCACGAAAAAAAAAAAAAAAAAAAAAATGTCAAAATATTTGTAATAACACTAAGCACAAATAACAATGCACATATATAATTATGCTGTCCACAAAGGGGGAGGCAAATGCCCTCCCTATAGGTACGCCACCGTATTCACCGTTAAAATTATAATAACCATGGCCGTGGTGTACATTTAGCAGCTCGAGTATCGCAATAGGTTGACAAATTAAATAAAATTAATTTTAACCGAGTTTCAGACAAAATTTTTAACGTTTTATATGGTTCCGAAAATTATCGGTCGAATTCGCTTTGAAGAAATATGAATTTACCAGTAGTCTTGTAGTTTGTCACTATCGCAATAGTATTTGATGTACGTTTTCAACGTGACATTTGTTCACGCAAAACTTAAAAAAAAGTATCCTTTTATTTTTTTTTCTTTATACATATATATATATAAGGATAACAATAATAGCCAGAGGGGAATATTTTTCAAAGGAACTCTTTTTTCATATGCGTTGTTTTTAAATCTCTGTACGTATTTTTTTGATTATGATATTTTTATTTTTTTTTTTTAAATATCCTCATTCATAATTTATAACTGGTGAATTTTAACTAAAAAGTTTCTTTCTCGTTCGAAAAAAAAAATGGCTGGTTCTGTTCTTTTGTGTGCCACTAGTTTTGAAAGAAAATTGGAATGGAAGATATGTAGAGTATTCCAATCTATATTTGGATGATATTAAAAAATGATTCTGGACAGAGAAGTATTAGTCGAATGGTTTCACTTGTTGCTAAGGTAACTCAGAAATCAATAAGAATTTTTCCGAAATTTGTTAGTTTTTCCGATTTATTAAGAAAACTACAAGATTTGATTTATCAACTAGACCGAAAATACTACAATTTCCTAAACATTTTCTGTTGGTAGCAAGATTTCTGGTAACAGGCAAAGTTATTACGAATAGAAAAACAAAACACACATCCTAGTAAATCAAATATATCTCTTTCATTCAAAATATTAACGTTTGTAAATAGTACGAGGGCCACTAATACGCGTCTAAGCATTCATCGAATTGGTGTTGTTTTTTTTTTTTGTTTTATAGTGGATGCGAAGAAACTAATAAGGGCTTAGTTCTATAAAAGGGACAAATTGTTCCTTGGCGGTTGCTTAAACAAGGTCTTAACTAATTGTGCAGATGTGCAAATTAATATAACAATAATAATTACAAAAGTTTTTCGAGTATCCGGAAATTCTATTTAATAAATCATCTATACTCACCGATTTATTTTATGTAGGTAAATACAAACTCCGGTGATAATATTGAGTATCTCGTTTTCTCTAATCCTTCACGCGTGTTTTTCAAAGGTAATGTTTGAATTTGTCGGATATTGTAATAATGTAGGTACTTACCGCGTGGTATATACTGCAGAAAGGTATTAATCACCGAAATCCATGTATACCTGCGTCACGCGTGTTCAACGAACAGTTGATAATCCCACTGGATTTGTATCGTCTGTACCGCGATTATATTATTAGTCAATACATTGCAGATAAATAAGACTCGAGAAAAGAAAAAGAAAATCATTATTGTTTCGCACCAAAGTTTTTGTGCAATATTCGATTGTTAATTTAAATCTTATTTATTATCTTTGCCGGAAATCTCGTTCCGAAGTATTTTTGTTTTTTTGTGAAATTCCCATACGTTACTGTTGGCCTCCGTAGAACTTAAAAATAACACACGTTTAACATTATAGGGACCGAGGCGTAGGATTTAATTATTACAAAATTTACCGAAATTCGGAAATAAATTCTCGTAAAATTCTCGACGAATGTTCATTTTATATGAAAACGGGGAATTATATTTATTTTCAACACACCATAATAAACATACTAGCATAGAGAGTTTCCAAACTTTTCTTCGTAGGTTATTCGAAAACGCATCATTCGTATCGTATCATTTTCCGTCCCGCCAGTGACATATTGTCGTCGTCCGTTATAACGACACGGCTGTCGGTTCGATACGTGGTCCGTTATCGTAAATTATACAGTGTAATATGTGTATTATAATAATATAGTGTACGGCATCAGCTTTTCTCGTGGTTTTTTTTTTCTTTCTCTCGTGCGTTTTAATTAAATTAATATTTAATTAAAATCCACTCGAGTGCAGCGCACTTTTCACGCCGCGCGTTCGCTGACACTGCAGCAACCTGTTTTTCAAAACGAAAAACGATTATTATTATTATTATTGTACACCAGACCGTAAGATAGACGGACTGACTTTCGTTCCACGTTCAACACTCAACCACAATAATTGCGAGTTCAAACCCCCCTCCCCTTTCCCGCTGCACATTATTCCACTTGGCGGTTTTCGTCTCTCGCTATAGAAAGACAAAACATTTAAAAACTAGTCAATATTACTCGTGGGTAAGCCACTGTTGCTGGTGAACAGTTGAGTAGATTAATCAGTGTCGCGGTATTTTCGTCTTGTTGTCGTGGGTACACCACGGGGATCAAACAAAAAAAAAAAAGGACTAAAGGACCTAGAAGACGAAATGCTGAAAATGTCAATAACTGTTTCAAATGAAGTACTGCCGGGCCGAAATTCCGCATAGTTTTAGGTATGGTATGAACAAATCGGATGGTTTTTCCAATCAAAAAAGTTTTCCGAGAAAAAAATAACATCTCTGTAAAATTAATAATAGCTTCGTTATATTCAAAAGCTGTAAATCACAAGATTCAAGTGCGAGCCGGTACGTAAAGAAATAACAATTTTCCTTGGAGATACGCATTTCATAGTCTTTGTCCAAAACGATAATATAATATACTCATCGTTTTTCGGAATCAAATAGATTAAAAATATTCGATAGATGAACCGCTTTTGAAACTAGTCAAAATCGTGATAACAAACGAAAAATAGAAAAAAAAAACCGTGTGGATATTACCTAGTATTAAATCATATAAAATATCGTGAATTCCTGGTTACTAAGCTCAGAATCTAAAATTGACTAAAACACGATGAAGCAAGCCATAGGTAAAAAATAATATACATATTTTTTTATCCATGGAGACGCAGTAGAATACTTCATTATTATTATAACAACGATGAAATACGAAGACGAGAGGCAGATTTATTCGTTTTAAATCCGCAGGAAAATAACATTTTAGCCACAAGTAAAAATTATAATCGTATTGTTAACGATGCAAATAAAAAAAATATTATTCATCTCCACCGCCCCTCCACACGCCTCGTGCCGTGGCTCTCGACCGTCTTCAGACGGCATTCTCCGGGAAAAAATATCAGCACAATAACTATTATAAATTTGTAAATTCGTGTCCATCTGTCCCTCTCAGCAGTCGATCCCATTCCCAGGGGTCGTTTGTCGTTCTCGTCGAAATGCGCGTATTTGCCGAATTAAAAAAAATGTAATATGTATTTTTTTTTCCTATGAATTACTTTGGGTAGTTCCACCCAGCAGTGGCACGCTAACGAGCGGAGGAGTATGACGGGGATAGACTTCTCTGGAACCTTTTTTTTATACATATATGTTTTATAATGCACCTTAGTAAACCTATTTGTAAAGGTAAGCATTTTTTATTTCACATTTTTTTAAAATAAAGTCAAAAATCCGTATCTTTTCATCATATACGACGCAAGGAATTTTTAACATTTTTACCGACTAAAATAAATTATTTTCTGAGAAAAAACCCAAACAAAAGACCTAGGGGGTAAACTTTTGAAAATTAAAAAAAAACATTTTTTCATATTAAGTACCGCCGCGCCGACAAATATTTCACAACTATTATGGTATATTATTATTATGTTTCGCTTACCGAAAAAGCGTTTTTAGAATAAGAATGAAGTGTAATTTTATGTCGTAGTTAAACCTGATGTGTTCTTCGCTGTTGCGCTCGTAATTTAAAAAAAAAAAAAATTCGAACAAACGATACACAACGGTGTATAATATTAGGTATTATTAATATTGAAAACACAAAGTCTCGATGATAATAAAGACACAGTGGCCGGTTTCTTATCGCGGTCGTGCACATCCACGGCCACGAAAGAAAATCAAAAGTTAATTAAATTTAATTGTGAACGTTACGACGAGGAGGCGAACTTAAAGTTTCTACGTTTTTTTTTTTTTATCTCGTTTGCCAGAAAAAGTCGAAAATGAATCTGATTATATACATATGTACATACAACCTTATTATAAAGCCTTTTATGGGGATTGGATACCGAATGTTTCCCATAAGAGTCGTATATAAGCAATCTCTCGTTTAATTCCGTGCAGTTTTTATCTTCTAGTGTTTAATGTAGAATAACTCAGAAACTTCGTTAAAATTACGATTGAAATACGTTAACGTTTTCAGAAAAACTTCCGACATTATAATTTGTATCGAAACGTGTAGATTCTAATTTTAAAAACCAAAGCCGGCACTGCCACGGTTTACTCCTTAAATGCCGTCAAAAATCTAAACATACGAAAATAACGTCTTTAATGCGTTTAAAAATTCCAAAAATCAGGATTTGAAAATTATTATAAGTATAATATGTAAGTAAAAATATGATACATGGGATAAGTCGTAATATTATTAATTTTAAATGCATTTAAAAGGGCACGAGTCATTGAAACAATTGAAACAAATGATTCAAGTTCTTAATCTCCAATTCTATTGTGAAAATATATTTTAAATATAAATAATCTATATCTCAAAACCAAATTCAATTTAAAGCGTTTGAAAACGTTTTGTTTTTCGTCTCCTGAAAAATAGCTGTTTATTACTTGAATTCTGTCGACACATTTTTTTTTTTTTTCATTGAATGTTCATCAATTAAGCCACAGATATACAGGATAATCAACATAGCGCTAGACACTCGTTATCTTGAAAAGTAATAATTTTTTTTTCGGAATTGGGTTTTTAGATAATCTAAAAAATAAATAGCTTTAAAATGTTACATTATGATTGTTTTCTATCGCCCTTGACTACTGGGGTTAAACCACTGTCCAATTTTGATTTTCAAACGGCGACTTATATTAAAAATCCTATAAAAAGACAAAGTATTGATTTTGAAATAAATTTCGGCGTTCACGAGATGTTCCCACTTTTAAGTTTGGGTAGGGGAAAGGGAAAAGAAAGAGCGACGGAGATGAATGGAGGAGTATCATTTGTATGGCGGTATGGTTTAACAGTGTTTCGTGTCTTGGTTAAACAAGTGACAATACTAGAGAGTGAATTGGAAGCGCGAAAACGCGTCGACCCTTTGAATTATTATTAGTCCGTCTCCGATGAATCTACTCAATGGGTGCAGACGCATTTTATTTGCGCGCACTTAGAATCACTCGCGTGTAAATTTACGTTGTTAATTAATTAACTTTTTGATTGGCACGACACGCGCGATTGTTTCACCGATATCAATTATAAATTCTCATTCCGCACGATAATAGTATTGTCGTCGTATTGCCGTTTTGCTCGAATTTTCGTTGTCATTTTAAATAGACAGACACTACCTGTAGTTTTCAATATTTCTTACAGACTTTTGTTCCCGTATCGTACAAAACTTGGGAAAAATGATTACCTCAACATGTTTAAACATAATAGTAATATATTTAATTATAATACGGTATTATTGTTAATCATTAAAAATGTACAGTTATTAAAGACAAAAAAAAAAATAAAGCTAACCGTGCTGATGGATGCGCCATTGTTGTATGCAGAAAGTTGGGATAACAGGATACGGATACCTAAAGTTATTTAATCGATATCTGTAAGTAACGATAAATCGTTGATGAAGATATAAGATTCAGTTGTACAATATGTCACCATGATATTTACGGTTTTCATCAAAATTTGATCATACAATTTTTAATAAATTTAACAAAAAAATTTTTAATTTTAATACATTTTTGAAAAGAAAAAATACTACATCACGCAAAACTTTTTTTTTTTTTATCACTAAGTACACTTATAATTAGCGTCATGTTAAATTTTCAAGCATTTCTCTTTAATTAATTAATGTAAGAATAAAATACCTGGATACCACAAAAACCATTACGTAAAAAAATTAGAAAATTTAAAATGCCTATAAATAGCTAAAATAACGTTGCCACGTCTATAAAAGGCCGATAAAAGTTGTTATCAACATTTCAAGTCTCTACAAACATCGTTAACTGAATTACAATTAAAAAAAAAAAAAAAAATTAAAAAAATGAAACCATATTTTGTTATTTCTGTAAACTTTCCCGTTATTTGTACATTTTTTTCCGGATTCGTTAAATATTTATCAAAATAGCTTAAAAACCAAAAAAATACTTGCTCAAAAGAACTTGAATATCAACTAGATTCGAAAAACAATAAAAAAGGTTCCTTGTCATTTTTCGATTGTAGCGCAATTTCTGGTTGCAATGTTGTTCACAGACAAAAAAAAAATATACATCACAGTAAAACCAATAGATCCCTCCCTACGCTCAGAATCTAAAAAAAAAAATCGTGTTTAAGTTCCGTATATTTCATTCTTGTATATGTACTAAAATATTGTTCGAGTGATATCATAAAAATAGTTTACGAACCGGGTAATTCTCGATTAAAATAAAAATTGAATACAATTTTTAAATCATGTAGTCATTTTTTGCTTGCTCGACGACAATGCCATTGTATTAATTACCATTAATTATCGTATTCAATATTGTTCGATATTTTCAACATTATAATAAATTATAATTTTGCTCGACTAATTAACTTATAATTTTCAATTAATTTCCATTGTTCGCGTCGAGTCTTCAATGTTTTATTTCTCGTAAATTCATTGCATTTAAATGATAATTAAATACGTATTTGTTTATAAAAAAAAAAAAAACTAATAATTGTTTTTCAATTCGCTTGTCGAATCACCACGAGTACATTATTATTATTATTGTAGTGTAGATATCACTCGATCTTCCGCAGATATATATTTTTAGTTCGATTTACATAAAATTTCGATTGTGTTTATTCTCGGTTCGTTTATATTGTTAAAACGACGCAGGGTAATTAGTTGTGCAGACAAAAATCGGAAAACCATTCACAGTTAATGGTCGTTGATGTATAAATATACGCGTTTAGAAAAACTAGATAAAGTTAAGAGACGATAATAAGGAACAATTATCTAAATACAGGTGGATAAAAGAAGGTCTAGATAAAAGAAAACCCATTATATCTCGTTTCCAACCATTCATAAAACTAAGATGCTAAATAATTACAATTTTAATAAAAATATATATAGATAGACAGTTCAATTTTTTTTTTTATCTCGGATGGCTTATTATCTCTCATTTCTCTAGATAAGATAAAATATAAAAAATATACCCATCTATTGATAAAACATATCTCTATTGTTATTGTTACATCAATAAACAAACGAAAAAATTAATTTACTTATGATTTATAAACAATACAATCACAATAGTTTCATCAGCGTTTCGGGTTTACTCCGTTAGAATAGTAACACGAAATCTTTTCACATTCGGATTGAAATGCGATTTTTTTTTTAAAGATTCAAAATCTGCGTTTTAAGATTTTCGAGCCGGTTTTTAAAATATATCGACCCTTGAACGTGCGCAATTAAAATAAAATAATTTGTAAGTAATAGAAATAACCGTTTTCAACACTCACAGATTTGAATAGTCTACTGTTTTTTTTTTCAACAGAATACGGCTAAAACGATAATTTTAGTCTTGTCACTTTCAATGTCACGCGTTTTCTAATTTATCCAAAAAACCGACAAAAAGAAACAGATTTGTATAATAATTTTTTTTTTTTTTTTTATATAAACTAATTTAGACGACTGTGCGTCCATTTGAACTTGTCTATCACTCGAATAAAAAGCGTTTTGTTTTGATGAAAATATAATTTCCAATACATGAGATAGCTTCTTAAAGAGACACACGAATCGTTGCAATTTTATACGAACAAAATAACAAGGAAAATCGTTATTCTATTTTCGTATTATAATTGTATTAGCTTTTTGCCTCTCCGCCCTATTTTCGTGAGCCCGAAATTGAATACGGATAACGAGCAGACGTAATAAAATAATAATGTACATTATTATTTTTTATAATATTAAGTGTTCGCCTAAAAAAAATATCGCGGTAATAACCACTATCCTGCGAATATCCACTTCGACATCATCGTCGTTTCACCGTGGTATAATCATTATAAAACAATAACAAAACGGTTTTAACTACGCCCGAATGCGTTGTAAATGCGAGTCTAAATCTAAAGTGTCGAATTAAAAAAAAAAAAACAACACCCACGTAGAGGTTCGTCGCTATTAGAGCCGTCCCCGTATTAAATTATAAAAACATTTTTTTGTAAACCGAATAAACAACCGAGTGTACTGTAATAATACAACACTATTTTATTATTTATAACATTATAAATTCGAAAGTTTGTTGGGACGGACGTTTGTTATACATTCACGCCAAAACTACTGAACCGATTGAACTGAAACTTTACATATTCTTAAATGCAATTCTAAACTTGCAAGAATAACGCGGTGAAGGGTAAAAAGGGTTGACACGCATGGTTTTCGGTATGCGAATCTCATTGTCTCTGTTGGTTCGCGGGTTAATTTACATAGATGACGAAAGAAAATTAAAAGTTATTATTAGTTAATTGGATTGTCACAGGCAAAGCAGTTGACGAATTTTAGTAACGGTGATCTTTATATGGATTAAACATAATTAGAACGATAAATTCAAGATACACGTTCGTTTCGTCTAGATCCAATATACTCAGGTGTTTAGTGTAAGTACGTGTTAGTGTAGTCTAATAATCCGTTTAATATAATGACCCTATTTTCGTTACCCGTCTATCTAGATTAGTGTTTTACAATCTTTTTTTACTCAACGATCCTTTTAGATTTTCAAAATCTCACACCGCCCCATAAATTTAAACAAAATTACAGTTTAGTTTTTATAATCGGACATTTAATTAAAATACAAAATAAATGTTTTCTTCCCGTTTTGCGCATTTTATCATAGTTACGATTAAGTATAACTAACTTACACGCACACTTAATTATAACTTTACGCAATAAAATATGCAAGTATACAATTGTCGGGAATATCTTTGTGCGTCTGGGACCAAACGAAGCTTATCGGCATCGACACGATAAGATAAAATGCTAGTTTATCACCATTTCGCTGTTATTGTAGTGTGTATAAAATATTAAATTATTTTCTATTGTACGCACATATTTATTTCATTAAAATAAGTTACGAACTTGTTAAATTTGATTAATAGTATAATTGTTTTTATTTATAATGAATTATTTTTAACAATGAAAGTCACGGTAGAATCGCTCCCCTTAGCGCTCCCTTCGTTGAAAAGCCCCCTCAAAATTAAAAAAGCCCACACAGGGAGCGGTATCGCCTACTTTGGAAATCATATATCTATCTATATATATATATATATACCTAGACTGTGTTCGGGGCACACTTTTTTCAATTTTAGTGAGGGTTTTAGCGTTTTTGAGGGGTATAATATCGACGAAATGCATTTTTTTTTTCTACGAAAGTGTTGACGGCATTTAAATCCGGGCACTAAATCGTTAATATTTTTGTAATCGTACAGAATAAGCGACAATACTCGTACAACAACAGCAATAATAATAATAATGGCGAGTAACAAGTACGTTATTATCAATTCATTTCTGTGGCGCGTATAACCGAGACGCGCACAACGCAAAAACACACAAAACGAACTGGCGCAGTACGACCCATAATGTACAGATGGTAATAATATTGTTGCAAATACTGCAAATAATATAATATTCATTATATCGGACGCAAAACTTCGCGTTATAACTCGATATAAATAATACGCGGTTGTTTATTTTCGTTTCACCCGCGTTATTTTATTCTTCATTTAACTTTGCGATAATATTGTATAATATTTTATGACGAAAACGAACCCGCGGTGCCTTCGAATATAAACGTAAGAAATAACGGTCCTGTATACGTTTCCCCGTATAAGTTATTTTACACAAGCCCGCTCGATTGTTTATTATTATTACCGTTAGCGTTTATTTTATCTTTGTAAATATTGTTCTTCAGAAACAATACTAATAATGCGAAATTATAACTTCAGACGCGAAAACTGCCGCCGCCGCTGCAACTACACGCTGCGCGAGGCGAAAGACGAATAATAATTCGTATTTGTATTTTATATTGTAAACCGACTCTCACCATCCCTTCTCACCCCTCACCTCGAAATTTGGAGAATTGTTTTATACGATTTTCGCATGATCGTACATAGTTACATAATTCATAGTAATTACGCAACTAAAATTCACTTTATTGGTGATTTACTATTCCGAAATATATGTTTGGAAATTTCTTTTGAAACTCATCAACTGTAATTGAAATCCTGGTCGTGCCGCTGATTCGCAGGCGGAACCGAGTAAAAGCGTTCGGTATTTTTTTATTACGTTACAGAGCCGTATTTATTCGTCTTCCGTTAATCAGTACAACTTTTCAATATTATACCGTCGAGAATTTTTATCGTTTTTATGCCGTTTTTTAAATCGCCAAGAAGGTGTCGATGCGTAGAGGTATCGAAATATCCGATCGCTATAATAGCTAAAGTTTTTATTCGATTTGCGAGGTTTCCACTAATACAACACCTATAACATAATGTGTATAATATAAAAAGCAGTCTCGAAAAAGACGGACTTGTAAAACCGGACCATTTGCTCCCCTCGCTCTGCAGAATTTGTAAACGTCACCGAAACGATACCGGAAAAATCATTCTAACGGTCCCCTACGACGGATTTCGCGTGTGATGTGACACGCGTTTCCGTGCGTTCGGTCTCGCGAATTATTCATTTCGCTTTCGGCCGGCCGATTCGGAGATACGGATGAGACGTCGGATAAATGAACCGGCGGACGTCGACCTTTGCGCCCGTGTGCCAATATCCACCTCGATTTCCGACACGGGTCGTCCCCGGATGTTCCGATAAGCTTTCACGTTAATCCGGGCGTTTCGCCGGATTTACAGGCCACCGGGACGTCGTTGATAGGTTCGACGGACGAAACGCAAAACCAAAATTTATACGTGTACAATATATACGTATATTGCGAGGTTTATCGTGTAGGCATCGACTTGGACTTTCGTCGACGTACAGGATATCCGCAAGAGTTCGGTTTTATTGACCGAAAATACTAAATGGAAAAAAAATAGAATTAATATTAGTAACGGGTGCGCCGCTGTCGTAAACGGGAAGTCGGGAACGTGGGACTGCGTGGAGTTATTTAATTTATACTATAACGATAAGCCGTCGCTGACGAAACACGTTTATTCTGAACTAGGTTCGGTTGTACACGTTTTTGAAATCGTAAACATTTCCTTTACGGTTTTCGTAAAAACCCGCACTTAAAATGCTAAAAATAAAAAAAAAAAATAAACTACACATTACGTTCGACTTAAATTTTTTATTATTCGACTGCAAACGCGAACCTAAACTGAACCAATGTCTGGTGTATTATGTCATTATATTCCTGATCAATAATCGACACGCGTTAAGTCATATTAATTTAATATTGTTTACAAGTCAAATAAATTACAAATCGTGTACCTATTTGTAAACTACAGTCTTCTTGTTGATTTTGTCAGGCGTTTAAATTGTGTAGTGTTATATTATATTTTCAATACTACTATAATTTAGAACCTAGTTTACCAAAATGGTTTGTAGAGTACAATTTGCTCAATCCATTTTTCACATTCTGTTTTTTTCCAGTCAATCCCCCCCCCCTCGAAAAAAAATGTTGGTGGCCAGACCTTCAGTACAGTACGTCACAATCGTATTATAATAATATTTTATCGCCGGAAAATCGACAACACTAATAATTTTGATAAAAGTTTATGATACGCGATGAATAATCTCTGATGTAAACTTTTGTAGGGCACTTGTGTATACATATATATATATATATTAACTGTAGCCCACAATTATAATATAATTAAAAGTACTGGCGGTATCGGCAAAACTAATCAATGGGAAACATTTTATTGGGAAAATAATCTTTTGGGAAATATGGTATTGAGGACGAAAACTTGAGCGGGGAAAATAATTGGAAAAAGTATCACCCTTTCACCAGTATAGTACAATACGCATAAGTCCACTATTTCATTACTATTAGGTAACTGTAACCGATCAGCCGGCGTAAATTCATACAATGCGCTATAAAAAAAAAAAAAAAAAATGCCATCGGAAAATGTATTTTCGATTGGGAACGTTCCTTGTGGTTTTGCATCAGGGCTTTCTGAAATTGTCGATATTTTTTCAAAAAGCTGTCGGCGGGTTTTTCTCCGGTTGCACAAGAATTGTAAAATATTCGATCGATATGATATTATTATATCATAGAATAGTAGTTTATTTGGCATTTTCTTTTTTTCTTTTCCATTGTAATCGCAAAATGTAATATTAAAAATAAAAAACGAAATTGTTTGAATTCAATGTGTTATATTAATATCGATATACGTAAACACACTATGACGTCAATACTTGAAGGTTTAAAATTAAAAGCGGCAGTTTATTTATTTTTTTTTTTTTCCAATGAATGTGCTTGAAATTAAATGATATTATATTATAATATTTTTAATTTAGTCGCGATTTTTGAACGAAACAAAACGAAAAAAATTGACGCGTGTCAGCAATCACGTTTGAAAATATAATAAAAAAAAAAAAATAAAAATGTAAAATATACCGATACGGACGTAGATATTTGATATACGCTATACTCGTTTAATATAATATAAGCTATTAGTTTCTATACATTTCGAATAATGAAAGCGACGACGTTGATTTGAAAAACGTTTCCGAGCACAACTTGCGAGCAGTTTAATACGTACAACACTCATATACTTATTGTTCCGGCTTTCCGGGTATAATATTTTGCGTTTGTCAGGCATGAAAACTGTACCAACAACGTGTGTAACATATTGCGTTTATTGTTTATAGCCGTGTAGGTAGTTATTGTTGTTTTTTTTTTTTTAAATGAGCCAAATAATATTCGAATTTCTAACAAAAAAAAAACCCTTTTTTTCCATACACGTACGCATAGCTCCGAAAATATTAAGACAAAAACGTACGGTATCTGCTTTTAAATAATTATTATATAATTAATAATATAATATAATTAATATATAAATATAGTTTAGTTTTAAGTTTATCAATAGTTTTGATCGTTGCGAGTATAGCAGGATTTACTGTATTTAAAAAAAATTACAAATTTTCTGTAGATTTTAGAGCTATTTGAAATTTTCGACCTTTTTTAGTCACTGTTCTGGAATATATACTGAAAAAATTGTTTTGGCCTGGAAAACGTTCTAGTATAATATTGTTTTATATGCGCTTAAAGTTCAAATTTTAATGAAAACTGAAGATTGCTATGATTTATCGTTGCCTACAAGTATAAATTCAATAAATGTATTACTATATATTATTATAAGCCTACTTTCCCAATTTTCCACCTACCACAGTGGCACACCCATCAGCAGAATCGGCTATTTTTTTGAAGGCTATAAAGGAAAACGATATTATTAATTGAAAATTCTATTGGCATAAGTCCAGAGATGAACGCCGGAAAAAACTTTCAGGAATTTCCAACAAAATATCATTTTTGTATCGTTGTAAATTAATATTGTGCTACAATCGCTATGCGTTGGTTTTAAAATAATGCGAATTGTTTTACAATTTTACCAGCGATTTTGTTCCGATTTTTGATTGTAGTACTTTTTCCGAAAGTCAGTTAACAATTGACTGATTTAAAGTCAGATTTCCCAGATATTTTCATTATAAATTGGAAAAAACCGTTGGGAAAACGGGAAAATAGGTAAAAATGTACAACATGTTAAACGAATATTGTTAAAGAAAGTATAAAATGCATAGGTATGATATAATTTTATCGTAATATGAAATATATTTTGTTGACATAGTATCGACCGAATTCCGCTCAGAATCGTTTTTCGTTAGTAATGGTTAATCGTTGTTTACAGATAAACATTAAATTTCTCCTTTACCTTTCCAACTTCTCACCTACAATAACAGTGGTCCACCCACGTGCGAAGTATTTCCATGTGTTTCAGCCTACAAACTATAGAGTGTACTTTCTTTCTATATCGGGGTAGGAATCGAAGCCCCGCGCCTTGCGTTGATCAGGGCACCGCGGCCAAACCTTTTTCACCGCTCCGATAAACGTTCGCGATCGATGCGAAATATCATAATAATTGCCGACGACGACGGCACGAAAAATATCACGATTGTATACAATTTTCTCGTTTGATTAAAATCTACGAAAACGTATTTATTTGTGTATTTATAAATACAATATCGTAAAAAAAAAAAAAAAAAAAAAAAAAAAAATCGTTTTACCGCAACTCGCCGGGGAACAATGTAATTTCATTGAGCGTTTACGTTCGGTATTAATTATATTATTATATATATGTACACCGTGTGAAAGCAAAAATAAATTTCGACTCTATCCGAAAAAGCCACCGGAGTGTATATACATTATCAAACTCATTCGCGCGTAAGTTCGTTTTTTTTTTCTTTTTAAAGGAAAACTATATCTACACCGAAACCATACAACAACAACAAAAAAAAAAACGTAGGTACGCTTGATTACTTTTAAATTTAATGTATATATATATTTTTTTTTCGAAATTATTACATTTTTTTTTTTTTGCAATTTTCGACGATTTTTCCCAACGTTTTCTATTTTTAGCTCCGGTTCGCAATCGATGATAAAATATACATTCGTATATTTCTAATTCTAATATAGGTCTAATTCGCAATTGCCGTAACTCCATATTGACGACTTTTCAGGAGAAATAAAAATCTAGTGTTATACGGTAAACCTATTTCATAAAGTGTTCGTTTATACCAATCCGCTGATTTCGTGGAAAAACAATTGTCCGACAACAGTGAGAATGAAAAATAATTTTTTTTTCTATTCATTAAGAATTTCTAAATCGCATTCAATTGAGTTCCGACAGTTGCTAATTAATCCGACGAAACGCGTTAGTGTTCAAACGCTCGTATAGTGTCTATATATAATAACAATAATAATATTATAATATTAATAATGAGCAAAAATACAAATAAAAAATCGTCTTCCCCTTCTGCTCTGATTTATAAACGTCTAAGAGCCGTGTCCGTCTCAGCGTACCCAATCGCCCGTCCTTATCTCTATACCCACCGTTGGTTTTTTTTTTCGTTTTAAACCTCGGCCGTCTGGCAATTCCACGTCGTCATTGTAATTTGATTTATTCAAACATTAGCGTGTATTGTATAGAAATATAGACTCTCTCTACTCCTGCCACGATCTGCGCAGTGTACAAATCGATCGCAAAAATTGCAAACGTGTAAAAAATCGGCGCAATGATGTACGCAATAGAAGTCGAAATAGAAAAATACGCTCCGAATCTAAAAAATGTATCGTTCATTTTTCATCAGTCTTCTCGTCTCGTTTCGGCGTTTTCTCGTAGAGGGTTCCTTTCGTTCTGCTCCGGCGCCGCTTTATTTTAGCCGTCATATTCTTCCCCTCTTTGTTATAAGACGTCTGCTACCATATGCGTGGCTACGGGGCGTGTGTGGGTTCTAACCCTAACGAGTCGTGTCAAGATTCTTAAATTGAAAATAATATAATGTAATTATAGTTATAAACAAAAACTTAAAAAGTTTAATAATACTATTGTGCTCTATGTGTTATATAATATGTGTTACCCTTGTCACTTATTGTTTTCAAACGAAAACGAATCAAAAACTGAAATACGTTAAATAAAAGCACTTAGGCGACTTGAAAAAAGTTCCGCGACAAAAACAGTGTCTATAGTTGGCTACAAACATTATCAAAAAGTTTCCCGAATGTTTTAAACTTTTGTGACCCTACGAGTCATACGAGCTGGCTGCTGTTGCTCTTGTGAACGGGTATTTTCTAAATTGAAAGTTGTGAAAACGAAACTGAGGAGTGATATTCCACAAGAAAGTCTCGGCTATCAATGTAATTGGATATAATGATACTTGTGGAGTAACGTCTTTCGACTGAAATTATCCATAATGAAGTCATTGAAGAATTTGAAGTGTTAACGAATTAAAACTAAATATTAAACGATCTTTTTAGAGGTATAAAAAAATATAAATCATGATCATATTTTTATAAGATTTCGAGGAAATTTTATTGATGTTGGGGGGGTATGCGATTTTCTTTTACGCTTCCTGCAAAAATGACCTAGTCACGTCTATGTAGCCTACAATTACCTCGTGCTTTGGAATGAGACCTATAGATCCGCATTATTTCTCCCCTAACAATTACACTACTATACATCTTCAATTTTGTAGATCAGTACGGTAATTTACCGCGAAATTCTTTAACTCGTCCACTGAAAGAACCGAACCGAAACACAATAATACAATTTGTTGTTTTTGTTTTTTATTATCTCGGTAAAACGATTGTGATCCGGTTAGGTAATGTTCCGGTAAACCGGCATTCCTATACCGTAATATTGTTTTTTAATTTCCGCAACGATCTGTCTGCAATTTACAAGTTTGCGAGATTGATTTCAATTTTTAAAAAATGTTTCCAATCGCGTACATAGGAAATTATCGCTTCCGGACGCGGTATGCAGTGTAATAGTAGGCCGATAATTAATACACGTCTCTGAGCCATATTATTATACAATAGCATTAATCGGTATTACGTGAAAAAATTACGATGAAATTTTCGGGTTTTTTTTTTTTCATTATTATATATACGGACGCCTGCATTTACGCGCGCGATATACGTCCAAACTTTTCGTATCACATGGCCTTTTATTTATATTTTCGCCTGTTACCTGCGGCATTTGAACCGTCGCGATATCCGCCGTCATGTCCGTTCCCATCGTTTTCCCATGCACTGTCGATTCCGATCGTTTAACGTCGCTACGTTACTTTCTCACGTTCAAAAGCCCGGCTCCGAAGAGTTTTCGCATTGTCAACGTTTTCCGCTACCCGCGATTGTGCACCCTCCGTTGCCGACCCGATACGCTTGTAATTCGTCCACGTGTCAATGTTTCACCCCGATCTACCCGTCCCGTTCTTCGGACGTACTCTATACGGGTCGCGCGCCGATTCGTATCCACTAAACCGCGCGGCCGTCTCTCCGCGCGCTAAAATAATCGCGAGAGCGCATTCGTAAAATGGTTTTTTTTCCCCCCTCACACTCCTGCGTAATTTTGTTTTCGTTCATATAAAACAAATACAACTTTACTATATCGTATATAAGTATACATACACACACATATATATATATATATATATACAATTTAATCGTATGTGTGTGTACATTATGTATTATTCGCACGGCGAAACGGTGAGTCGCCGTTGAAATATTTATCGCGCAAATGCAAAGCAAATATTATGTTTTGTTGATTCAACTTGTATAATATAAAGTGTACGGTTTGTACCGAATCGTACATACCCGGCGACGAACGCGCGACACGCGCGTGCGTTGAAATATTCCGGCCCGAAAATATGCGCTCGTGCAAACGGTAGGTATGTGCAATGAAATAAAAACGATTAAACAACACGGGCTGCAATGTGCCGTTCCAATACGCGCGTCATGCAGAGCGCGATGTAATATTGTGTTTGCAGTAATTATGTACGGTCGCCGTTTGTTTATCATTAAAAAATTTCAAGTGGACCGGAACGTTGCGAGCATTTCGCGCGAAAATATGTTTTCCCGGCGGTCAAACGAGTGTTGTTTTCGCTCTCCGTTGCCGTTAAGACCCGCATATTCCGACAAATATTCGATACCCGATAACCCGCGCGTCCGCGGCGGTCTGTGCGCGTTCTCGCCACCAGATTTCCGGCCCCACAATCTTTTCTCGTGTACAAATGCGTCGGGTATATTTCGTTTCGTAAAGGCGGCATCGGTGTATCGCGAAAACCTGTCCGGGCGGCTGAGTATGGGTCCGGGAGAAAAGAGTGATTGGAAAGTTAAGGCTTAACTATAGGCGAATAGAACCGTGATAATAATCAAATATCAGGCCTTCAAATGACGATCAATAAAAGCTCGTATAAAGCCTATTGAATCGCCGAAAATAAAAATTAATTCTTCATGTAAACCTACAGCAAATGGATGCCATTGGTTCGTCGGTAGATAGGTGGAATAAATTCTCGTTTTTGAAAATATTTGAGTTCGCCACGCCATTGATTACGACGACGGTCCATGGTCACCGGGACGTATTTATTTGTATGGAAAAACTGTTATGGGTTTTTTTTTAACGAAATTCGCGCTCTGTTTGAATGACAATACGAATTGATCTCCGGTGTATTATGCGAAACAATATTACGGTCGTGAAAACGGTTCGAATCGAAGTCGCCGAAGAACGCGTCCGTTACGATCAAGACCGTCACATCTGCGGTGGGTGGGCGGGATGGGCGGGTCCGCGGGCCGGATATCAGTTCCGATGTCGCGTAGGTAGCGAAACGTGCAAAATATGCGAGCAACGAAACATGTACTGATAAAATTCATAATTCAAAAACGATACGTCGGCGGGATATGATATGTATTATTCAGTTTCGGGAACGGTGAAATATCGGACGAGTCATCCAATAACAAGTGTAGCGTATAGATTATATATATATTTTTTTTTCCATATTTATTATTGGGGTCGCTGAAAATGTTTGATGGCGTAGGGGTATTTTTTATTTTGTAAACGATCCCGTGTACATCTATATTATACGTTATTATGTACGATCGAAACGAAATCAAAAGTCGCATATCATATTTTCTGCAATATACATCGTCTCGTGATATCATATCGTGAATTTTATTATGTGTATATATATATATGTGAATACATACATATAGATAGTTAATAAAAGTAATAACATAGGTACTTATACGATTCCTGCAGCGCTGCAGCAGCAGCAGCATCAGCATCAGTCTCGTTCTCGTTCATTTATCGGGATTTATAGGTTTTTTTATTATTATTATTATTATTATTATTATTACCGGGGGAATACTATCGACGTACGTGATACAGGTGTATACGACTTGAGTCGAATCAAATTATTTCGCATAATAAAGTCAGGCGTGTGCCAATATATACTCGCGTAAATCGTTTTATATGAGTTTTTATAAAAAAAAAAAAAAAAAAAAAATTGGGAATTTCGAAATAATGTGTTTTGCGTATTATACGGGTATAATGAGGTCTAAACGAAAATAAACAAAATGTATTTACTTATGCTTTCGTTATGTAGTATGTCATTACTGTAATTGGAAAAATGGAAAATATATAATATTATGCTATACCTAACGGGGAGGGGGGGGGTTAGGAAGGAAAAACGCTCGCGATGTTACACAATGAAAAAACTCACTGTCTACTACACTTCTTCACTTCGCCGACTCGTGATTTTCAGATTTTCGTTATTTTCCAACGCGCAATGTCGTAACCTTTTTAACGTACTGCGTAATATCGAAACGTCTCGACTTATTAGATTTCTAAAAGCGTTTTTAATGCGCCGTTAGAAAAATATCGTACAATATTATTATATAATAATTTTTATAACACAGTCAATGTTGTAAAATCGGTTTATGTCCATTGTGTCTCTATACTTTTTTTCATATAAATATCGATGTCGTGCTTTTAGTTTCAATATTGGACTATATTAGCCTAATATCGAATAGTATAAATAAATTGAATAAGTATAAAAATACTGTTAGTTTTTTTACGTTGATATTTTTGTTCGATAATTTTTAATTTCCGAGCGAGTTACGAACTTTTAAAATATTACAGTTTAAAAATCGTCGAATCTGACTTGAAAATTTAAACAAAAAAAAAAAAAAATCAACCTTAAAATACAAACAATATTCTTACCTTTATGCTTGATAATAAACCAATACACTCCAATATCGAAACTAATGGCACAAAATCAGTTCAAGTATAAATTATTTATCGATAGTGCGATTACAATACGGTGAACATTTACCCCCACTCGAATTTTATTAGTGAACATTTACTTGGAGATATTTGTTTCGGGATTTTGGTTAGGTTTTTGTTTCGTTTTTATAAAGAAGCAAGTTCTCGGTCTACTCTTTCTACTTTTATATAGCCGTTCCTTCAAAAATGATTTTCAGAAAAAATTATATTATTATAACACGTGTATGTCTAATATATACGTATGTATATCTGTCCAATCCTGTATTCCACCTTATCCAGGCAAGAGGGCAGGGAGAACATTCATTATTCAAATTATATCTCTTAATAATCTATCGAGAGGGTCTTGCAATTACTCTAGTAAATATTTACTCTCCTGGTCACGGGGGCCAATAATTACAGTGGCACATACACTTATTTGGTTTTTTTGGCGAGTTTTTTCCTTTTGAGATTTTTATTGTTTCTTCACGGTTTATTTTAAGTACTCTGAACAAAAAAAAAAAAATTGAAGGGTTTTAAAGAGATATACAATATCTGAATTATATACCAGTAAAGACCGGTCAAAATAACGTGTTCACGCCCGGGGAAATGGCGACAGTTAGATTCCCGCTGTCAGAAGCGTATTTACAACGGGAGGAAAAATAAAAATCGTTTTTCGACTGTTATAATAATATTACAAGATAGTATACTTTATTGTTGTTATTGTGTGACATCTAGTGGGAAAATCGATCAGTCGGTGCTCGGCGGTTTGCGGCTTGATGGGATATTCGTATAAAAAATTCGCGCACTCGTCTAAAAGAAGAGGAAATAGATCGTGGGACGCTAAAAAACGTTATAGACATTTATCTGTGTTCAAATCTCGCGAAGGCGGTTTTTGTTTCCGAAGCTTTCGAATGAAAAATAAAGAAAAAGTAAAATAGACACATGGAGAAACAAATGAAATAAAAAACAAAAACAAATGAAAAGTAGAAAAATAAAATATGTAATGTTATCTATCAGAGTGTAGTGAAAGAGTCGGCTTTTCGAATTGCGAGAATACTCTTATACTCTAATGTACACAGAAATAGTTATTGTCAGCGGTGGTATAAAAAAAGACGGTGGAGTGGAACTTTTTTTTTTATTGTCTCGCAACTTTTAGGACTTTGTATTCTCTGGGCACAAAAAAAAAAAAAATAATAATATTGAAACTATACCGGAAACTTTAACTCGAGTTTGAAAATGTATTTATTATTTTGATGATTTCGACACTTGAAACAATAATAATAGTAATAATAATATCTAATCAAATTGTGGAAAAAAAAACATATCGTGTTCATGAAAAAAAAAAAAAAAATTAGAAAGTTTTATACGGTTTTTGCAGAGGTGTCGAATACAATAGAATATTATGTTGGATCAAATGTCAGTAAAAGTACTTGTATTTCAATTGTCAAGTGTTTGTTTTTACCCAACTTTTTAAGAAAATGATTGCTTTTTTTTCATATAAATTACGAGAGCCAAATTTCAAAAACTTTTAAAACAATAATGAATATTCTCATCAAAAACGGCTATAACTTCACTGCGCAAAATTTGCGCAACGTGTAGATTTTAACAGCCAATGAAATACATACACGATTGCAAAAATTCTTTATAATATACTCGTATTATATACACGATTCCGCATGATTTTAAATGCAATGTGACCATTAAAATGTTTTGCTCTCGTTCAAAATGTGTTTGGGTAACCACTCCGGTTTATGAGATAACACCAGAGCGAATGACATTAATGGTTATTTTTACACATTTTAAGATCCCCTGGTAAAGTATGATAAATTCTATTACTCAGAGACACGACTGGAATTGACTGGTTATTAATTATCATAAATACATTTAAATACACATAGGTGTGACCGTGGTTGTGAGCATTAACAATTTGCTACCGTTAATTTAATGTATGCTTTTATTTTTATTTCAATTTTAATCCGATTAAAACTCAGTCAAGCTCTCCCCCAAAATCAAGTCCTCGTCGCGTATGAGTATTATAATATTATACACGGTACTTTATTTAAAATCAATATTATAGCGGGATTAAGTGTCGCCCTTCGGTTGATTCGGGCTATTTTCCCTTGCACCTATAAACACTCTTAGAACCGTGAAAAAATATTATATTGCACATTAATTTGACGAGAATATTTACGAAAAATAATTTTAATTAAATATTCGCAGCGTATACGGGTATTTTCGTGCACGTAACGCCAAATTAATATTCTCCCACGGTTTCGTTAAAAATAAAATTAAAACGCTTATATTTCGTTCAAAGAATTAAAAAAAAAAAAAAAACCTTGCTTGTTATTTTACGATTTACATAAAACTGTTACGAAACCCGCGAATGGTTTTAGACGACTCTATATTTGATAAATTGTCAAACGTCTTGTCACGTTTGACATCGTTCGGAATAGTATTGCGTTCAGTTATGAAAAATAAAATTTAATAACAGCCGTTAGCAGCAGAGCTTGAGATAAATTTTCTCTTACGCGACTTATCGTCGTTAAAATATTCAATTTTTTTTTTTTATAATCCACTAAAATAGTTCTGGTCATCAAAGTTTTACACTGGTGTTAATAATATTATATTGCATGGGCAATTAATAAAATTAATTTTTTTATTTATTTATGATTCGTATCCATTTAGATACCTATTAGCTACGTCTATCCCGTCCGCTTGCTGTATTTCACGATCTACTACCCTTACCCTATTACTGGTATAAAAAGTAATATTTAATCTTCATCAGTAATGCTAAGATATTAATCAAAAAAATCTACATCAAAATAGGTAAACTAATTCTCGACATATTTGCTAACCGTCGATAAAGACGGGGTTAGGGACGTTGAAACCTTCAATACGCACACCTTCAATTATTTGTCTGTTTGTATAATATACTTATATTGACCCCGTTGATTACTTTGATTAGTGCGTAAGAGTATTTGAAACCGGTTATTTCCTGTGAAAACATGAAATATGAGCATAAAAAATATTGGGCAAGGAGTTTAAAGTGAAACCTTCAAAAGGCACATCTTTAATACTCGTACCACGCGTATATAAAATTCCATTTCTCTAGATTTTTTTAGGGAGTAGGGAGTTCTTCATAGAGGTGTATAAAGCTAAAAAATTACCCTGCTCCATTAACAACATGATGAAATCTGTATTGAGTTTTAAAAAATAATTCATTACTTTGATCTGCCTAAATAAAAAAAAACTCTTTAATTCCTAACATGTTGACATACTCGTAATTTGGTCCTTGGTACTTTATACTAAATATTTCGGTCGAATAACATTGGATTTGAATTCCGATTTCGGGGGGGGGGGTCTGAAATACACGGCATTTACGAACGATTTAGATTTTACATTTATCGAAAAAACTATAAAAATCATATTTTTAACCGACTTTAAATAGTTGTAGCTCAAGTAATTTTTTAGATTAAAAAAAAGTGGTATTGATCAAAGTTGTTTGACAAAATGGGACTCTTCAAAATTAATTTCAAAAATAGGTGTTTAAATAAAAGATAATTTTTATTGCACACGTGCACACCATAAAGGTTAAAAATTTGAAATCGATCCTATAGTTTGTATTTCAGTAGATTCTATAAACTCCTAAAAACGTAATTTAAATCCAAGGTCTTCCGACCGAAAGTTTTAGTGTTACCTGACGGAAACGCAATCGCATTGTATGGGACCGATACATTACAATGTCATTAGTTATTATTTTCGGTAGAAATTTGACATAAAGTCGTTTGCTTTTTTCATACATACAGAATAATATGGAAAAATCACGTGTGTGTGTGTTTGTGTGTATTTAGACGAGTACATAACGAAACATCTCGAAGAGTTTCGAAGACTTTTGGTTGTAATTTATTTAATTGGCATCAAGCATTCTATTATAATATGTAATAATATACTCTATTTTTGCAGTATGTTTCACGGTAGAAAATATTCCAAAATCCGCTTATAACGAACTTCTGCGAACATATAAAATATAATAATTGACTCGTGTAGTTAGGTATGAGTACAATATGAGAGATTTCTATTTACGTGATGCGTGTAGGTAGATAGGTGCTCTGTCCGATGCTCAATAAGTCGCGTGGGTTTTATGCGCACTGAAAAAAAATACTATCTACTTACTCGGGTCTTATTGGGGGCAAGACGACTTAAAGTCGATTGATATAACTATTTAAACGTACATGAAAAAATAATATCTGTTCGACGTTTGTAGTATTACACAAATTGTGGATTTTGGCTTCGTTATTTTTTTGGGGATTCTTATACCAATAAATTGTGTTTTCTATACAAACATCATTACCGCGTTTTGAACAACAATATGATATTGGTTAGCTAGTTATGGAAAAAAATTAATTCAAATTTGATTTAATTCAAAAACTTAAATGTTATTCTGAAGTGGGCTGTACAAGACGGATTACTATAAAGAGGACGACAACGATAATATTTTATTTTATTTTTGTTTTCTGTAATAGAGGTTGAATGTTCAATAAACAAGAATTCGGTATGCAACAATATAAACTAAACTAAAACTTACTTAACTAAGACTATAATTAAAACTAAAACTATCTAGTATTCAATTAAATAATTCGAGACGAGCCCAAAAAGGATTGTGGGTAAACAAAACTAATTGCCTGGAATGAAACTAGACTAATGGCTAACGTGCCGACAGTGAAAAAGTATGGTGATAAAGGAGGTTTGCAATTCGTACTTAGAGAGTGAAAGGACGCAAAGAAAAGTATGGAATATGGAAAGGAACAAATGAGTGAGGGAGATAGGGATAAATGGAAATAGTTAATAGGAAACTAGGCGAATAATCTGTAATGTTTTATCTGTAAAGATATTGGATAAAAAAGAGAGATTATACGCTCGTTTGCGATCGGCGGAAATAGAGACTTTAGGAGACTTTGAATAGGAAAATTATCATGTTGAGAGATATTATTAAGTCTCAAGGTGAGCGCATGAAATAAAATTCTCTGAACTATTTCAGCCATAGCACTAATATACGCAGTAAAAGAGTCCCGGAAAACGCTTTCGTTTTCGATAGTAAAGAGGACCAGAGTGCAGTAAAGCAATAAGACGGATCATGAGGTATTATGAGGTAATGTTTAGGTTAATATAGAGTATTATTTTTTTCCGGATTTAAATCGAACTGATTATTGCAGAATCTCGAAGAGAGTTTAGTTTATTAAGCCTATTAAGTTATTAGACAAGGCATGATGAATGTGATAAAAGTCTGAAGCAATACCAACGTCGAAAAAAACACTACCCCATTCAAACTTAACACACTGATACTGCTTCGAATGAAAACCTAAAACCGTTGAAAAATCACGTCTGGTATAAAAATAAGGCAGAGAGAAGGTTTGAAATCTCGTCTCACGTTCCACGTGATTGGGTGATAATGCACGAGAACCATAATTCGACTTTTCGATATACTTGTATTGTGTATTATAATATTTCGGGAGGGAATGGTTGACAACTAGTAACACGCAGTGAAATATTTTGTTCCGTTCATTACCATTTTTCCGACAACTATAACTCTTACCCTAATCCTAACATATAGGCTATGCACAGTACTTATTGGATTTATTGAAAAACAGCTGTTACCGAAGAAAATAAACAACGATAAATATTTAATTTCTTGTTACGAGTTCACGTAATCCGAGTATAATTTTTTGCGTTTTAAAATTCGTATACGCAAAAACCAACCAATAAGGGGAAACAAAAATAATCGAACTCAACCGTCACTTAGCGACTGCAGTTGTAGCGATCACGCCCGTTTCATTCGCTTGTTTTGTTTACTATAAACCGAAAAGTACATAGT